AAGTCTGAAATTCCCTCCAAAGAGTTACACTATTACAAAGTAAAAGTTCCCACCCTAGTGCTATGCATTAACTACGTGACCCAATAGAGCAGTTTGGCAGGCTTTCTAACAGAATGCCCAACCCTCTTCTCCCAAGCAAGAGAATGACCTTGGTTCCCATGGGACACAATGTTGTTTAGACTAACAGAGATACTCCGTCCCCCCTTCCTTTTGTGTGACAACCTAGAATGAGCAAGATGGTTGCAGCCAAGTTCGTTGTAGACATGACAACTACAGGGCAATCGAGAAGAATATGTATATCCAACAGATGGCAAATGGACAAAAAACCCTAAATTACTTGCTCTTATCCAATCCTGAAGGCCACAATTTGCATACCATCTGAATTCCCATTTGCAGAAGATCCTGCCTCACCATGATTCCTGGTTACTGAGCTCCAGGTCTTTCTACAGGAGCATATATTTGATAACTTTTCTGCTCTTGAGCTTAGAAACTGGGGGGTTGGAGTGGAGGATGGTTGTGCTGTGGTTTGTAAAAATCAGAGAATTGCACACAATATGAAGTAAGGACATAAGTGGACCATGGTGGAAGCGATTATTTTATTTCACTTTTGCATGAAGCAAAGGTGAGTGGATTTGTGTTACTACAGAACTTGTAGCAGTTCTCAGGGAAAATGTAAGATGTTCTGCAAGCAAGAGGCAAGTTTCCTAAGTCTCACTAATTCTTTTCTGTCTTGGATTAAAACATGTCCAAAGAAAAACCCACCTGGCTCTCCCTGGCTCTCCCATCTACTGTAGCTTCTCCAACTGCTGAAAGACATTTCACAGCTGTGAAGAAAGGTAGTTGTTGAGGAAAGGTAGTTGTTATGTCATCCCTCCTTTTTCACTTTTTGTTTTGTTTTGTTTTGGTGAACGATGTCAATGCACAATGCACAGGAATAATGGTCTTTCAAAGTATTTGTTCAATTGATACAACTGCGCTTCTCTGTAACAACAATTGTAACTGAAAACAGGAGAGAAGGAAGGAAAAATGGCGGCCCACTTTTCCTCATGTTTCTGCTCCTTCTGTCTCATTGCTACTGGTCTTTGTGAGTATAGTGAAAAAGGAGTTAGTTGGGAAGATGAATGTCTATGTGCTGGGATTCCCTTCTTCTGGGCCCTTGAATTGGATTGTGATTTATTTTTCAGTTTCCATTTTTTCCCCTGAGAAACTTAGAAAAAGTTTAGTCCAGAGGAAAGCTTGTCTATATTGTGGCTCAAGCTGCTGTAGAGTACAATATTCCCCTGGGGTTTATTATTATTTATTTATTTTTGAAATTGAAGTTTTTTCTTCATAGAGACACATGCAGGAAGGTAGAGAAAAACAGATGAGGGATTTATATGTTTTCCTTGGTGGGAGGAAGATTCCTCAAACAACTTTTTCTTAACATGGGAAAAATTGTTACCTGCCTCCAAGATAGCTTCTTAGAAACTGCTGTTGGCAGGGAGGGGGGAAGAGCAATTTGTCATTCATTGTCAGGGAGCGCCTATCATTGAAAGAAACTCATTTTATTCTTTTTGGAAAATCTCAGAGGAGAATGGCTGAGATGAGTGTGGTCATGGGAGGGGGGAGGCAGGATCATTCAGCCTTATTAGACCCTGAATGAGTTCATGCTGAACTAACAGTAAAAACAAGTGTTGTGTCTTTGTCAAAAAAAAAAAGAAAGAAAAGAAAAGAAAAAAGAAAGTTTCCAAGTGTCACTTCCAGTTCAACCCATTTAGGTTTCTAAAAGAATTCCCACCAAATTTTACATCATCTATTTTAAGGACTGGTTTAAAATTAAAAATCTTGTACTAAGTTTAAAACTTGATGTTCCCGAGAGACCTGCAATGTTTAAAAGCACTTTTGCCATTTCTCAAAGTTCAAAATAACATTCCAAAAGGGATCTTTTAAAAGACATCCCTGTGACGAGCTTGGCCTCTGGGATCTGGTAAGGCTGGATTGTGTTCAGCACATAACATGTGTTTTTCATTGAGTTATAAAACAGGCGTTAAAATTAAAATCTCATAATTAAATGGAATAGAGTGAAGCCTTTAGTAGCAAGATGGGAGTACAGTAGTTTAACAGTTTTTTAACTAGACATTGGACTCAATGGGACACCTAATTTTTCTAAAGGCCACTTCATGCCTGTTTTCGTTTTTACGATGAGAGATTCTCCAGAGGAAAAGTGCACAAGGTCAGTTGAGTGATAAACATTCAAGCTTGCTTTATGCTGATCTTCTGAATCTTCCATCTACTTCGATGCTGTTTCCTTTGCCTAGGAACCATATTCCAGTTTCATGTGAGAGACCTTTTTTTCTACCTCTACCTTTCTACCTATTCAGATATTGCAGGGGGAAAATCCCAGCGTCCATAATTAATAAGAAAGTTGACTTCCACAGTGGAAGTGGTAGCTCATCCTGGAATTGGAGGTTTAGTAAGATCTTGGTGGCCATGGCTTCTGATCCCAGTGCTTTATGATTGTTTTAACTGGAAATTTTGACGCTGATATTGCTCTTTCTGAATATAGTGGGTCATAGAACTTCCCTTATGATACAGTACTTACTTTTCCTGTGTATTTCGGCTGGATCAGGCAAATCCTCCACCCATCTAAAAATAACCCCAGCTAATGTCTGACTTTTCTTTAGAAGCAAAATGAAAAAGTTGGCTCCTTTGCCAGATGAACACTGCGTCTCTTCATTATTCTCTTGGGAAGTTAAAATGCATTAATTTTACAATAATTCAAGCATCGTGGCTTTTTTCTAAATCAGCCTTTCCAGCCAGGCATCATCCACATGTCTTGAACTGTTACTTCTATAATCTCCAAGTAACATGGGCAATGTGATATCTGGAAAGCAGCACCCTGAGGAAAGAGAAAAGTTTATAGAAGATGCTGAGAATTAGGGCTTTTAAGCTCTTCGTACTGTGTTTCCTGGGAATAACATGTCAATACAGCCAGTTTAGTCTGCTAAATCTGTTCACACTAAGGGCACTTCCACAATACATAACAAGCTTGAAGCTCATAACCGCTTTGAAGCCACTCTTCCCCCATCTTCTGTTCGGTTTGAGTTGAGGAAGGAATAAAATTATGTTACATCAAAATACAAAATGCGCAAAAAAACTTTATGAATTAATCAATTGATCAGCAGGAGAGTTCATAAAATTTCTCTCTGTCTGAACCTTCATAGTTCCTGATGTAACATAATTTCCTTCCTCCCTTTACTCTGCACATACAAAGAAAAAAATAAATTGCTAGGACATCACTGAAACATTTTTCATTTGTGCCATTTCAATCCATTTTTGGGGGGTGTGATTTGCAAAGGAGGAGAAGGAGGAGAAAGAAGAAAGAAGAAAGAAGAAAAAGGAGGAGGACTCTATGAAGCTTTCATTCCTTCAGAGTTTCTGTTAAGAAGCTTCACTAGTTGCAATTTTATTTTATTTTATTTATTTTATTAAGATTTACAAGGCTGTTCACTCAACTAGTGATGCAGGAAAGCTAGTATAGTATCATTTTAGCAACCAGATACTTTTCACAGCAGGTATAACTATGCCTGTAGGTTGCAGTAAAGATTGTCTTGTTAAATGGAGGGTCATGAAATAATGGCTTGCCTAATGCTCAGAGGCTGGAAAATGGGATAAAGTAACAATTTGGTATGCCTTCCTTGTATGAAGAAAGAAAATCAAGTTGGCGGGGTTTTTTTTTATAAGCACTACTGTAAGAAACTGAGTAGAAATTGACAATGAGGATTAAGATTGGGTTGCCTGATAAATGCTTAGTATTTAAGCAAGAAAACTCAAGCTAGGATCATTATAGTGATCATGTACTAACTAGAGCCTGACTCGAGGGATTATGATTGTATTCGTTGATAGGGCTCCTGGCATACTTTACCTATTTAGATTTTAATGGAGTATGAGTAAGGGAATGATTGTGCCTAGGAACTAGGAGGCATGATGAAACAAAAACAAAACTAATATAAAATGTGACCATCATTCCCCCCCACACACACCAAAAAAGACCCTTTGAAGAACAGAATAGTGACTGAGCCCTTCAAGGGCGTAACAGGCAATTCTATAGTTGATACAAAAACAGCACAAAATGTACATCAAGTCATATATACAACTGAACATTGCTTTGAATAAATACCAGCAGGGTCATATTCTGTTTTGTGGGAAGGTAGTTTATTTCAGTGGTGATTCTACAGCTCAAGAGCTTCTTTTCAAGGGATGTCTCTATAGTACTATCTTGATTATCTTCTTAAAAATCCTACCCTGACTTTTTAAAAATCATCTTTACAGCATTTTTACAGCATTAACTGTGCTCTGAACAGGTCTTATTTTTTTCCCTAATACATCATGTTCAATGCTGCAATTGTTTCTATGCATGTTTAACAAAACTTTTATTTTTTTATTATTGTATTTTTAGAAAGACTCCATAATAAATAAGCAACCCTTTCTCTATATAAATAGAATAATGGAAGGGACTTTGGAGGTCTTCTAGTCTAACCCCTTGCTCAGGCAGGAAATCCTATATCATTTCAGACAAATGGTTCTCCATTTAAAAACTTCCAGTGTTGGAGCATTCACAACATCTGAAGGCAAGTTGTTCCACTGATTAATTGTTCTGTCAGGAAATTTCTCCTTAGTTCTAGGTTGCTTCTCTCTTCTCTCTTCCATCCATTGTTTCTTGTCCTGCCTTCAGGTGCTATGGAGAATATTTTGATCCCCTCTTCTTTGTGGCAGCCCCTTAGATTTTGGAATGCTGCTATCATGTCACCCCAAGTCTTTATTATGAGTATTAAAGTAGACAAACCCAATTCCAGCAGCCATTCTTTATATGTTTTAGCCTTCAGTCCTCTAATCATCTTTGTTGCTCTACTCTGCACTCTTTCTAGAGGCTTAACAAGTGTGCATTTTGCCTCTGTTGTGAATTTTATGCATCCCATTCACTGTAAGTTGGGCCTAACTAGATAAGACAACAGGAATGCATGAACATCAAGGCCATCCACGGACAGGAGGTCAACAGTGTGGTTATGACCATGTGACTGGAGCCTTTTCCCTTTTTAATGGACATCACACGCAATATAAGCACATAAAAAANGTTAGTTTGGTGAGCCACAACGTCTTGCTGTCAGTCAATGGCTACGCTCGCGTCAAAGACTGGAGATCACGATCCAGGACGGGCGTGGCAACTTTGGCTGACTTGATCTGATTGGGCAGGAATACAGTCTACTACCCAATGGTGGAGTCTCCATCTCCGTGCTGAGAAAAGGCGTTCAGGTAAGACAACGCCCCTTTTGCTGCGGTCTCTGCTTTGTCTTCAAACTCCTTGGCAACTTTAATGGCTTTGATCAAAGTTAAAGGTCTCCATCACTTAGGTAATAGCTGGTTTTCGTCCTGTCCCTCACATTGTGTGTTCAAATGCTCTTTAACCCCTGTTTTGATGTCCCTCAGGGGTTTTTTTCTTGTGTTCCCCCTATTTATGCTTCACCATGCGTTGCAATTTATATATTAGTGAGGCAGTCTTTATGTACCGTAGTTTTCCTTTCCCGTGTCTGTCTTTTGCTAACCTGTGGTCCTCTGGATATGTTAACATAAAGGAGTTAGGTGGCCGAACTAATGGGAGCTATTATTCAGTATATTAGATCGGAGGAAGCCAATATAATCCTGTGTCTGCCTCTGGTAGATCCAGCCTTCCATTCATTAATCTCCATGTCTGCTAGTTACATCACCATTCTCAATGTATATATAATTCCACCTTAACCGTTGAGTTCCATTTTTTCCTTTTGTTCATTTGTCTTCTTTGTCAAGCTCAGATTCATGCAGTGATTATCTTCCATCTCATCTTTGGTCCATATCAATCTTCATTCTTTGCTTTATCTAGAAGTCTATCATTAAAATACTTCTCCTTCCTGATGGTTAGCCTCTGACATTATTTCTCAAATTGTTTAAAGGACATCCTGGCTTTGAAGCCTTCCGAAAGCCGAGTTCCTTGTTATTTCTGGTTGCCATTTATATATAACCCATTCTCCAAAGCACCTGAAGGCCAGACAAGGAATCCTGGATGGAAACTGATTAAGGAGCGATTCAACCTAGAAATAAGGAGACATTTTCTGACCGTGAGAACAGTCAACCAATGGAACAGAAGTTGCCTTCAGAAGTTGTGGGAGCTTCATCACTGGAAGCTTTCAAGAAGAGACTGGACTGCCACTTGTCAGAAATGGTGTAGGGTCTCCTGCTTGGGTGGGTGGGGGGTTGGACTAGATGACCTACAAGATCCCTTCCAACTCTGTTATTCTTATTCTTATATTCCACCTTTAAATTCCATCCTCAGTAGTCTAAAGGTCTTCTACTCTCTGCTATTCTCTCTCCTTTCCCCCTTGCTGTTCCCACCATTTCTTTCCAGATATCGTCTTCTGTATCTTTTCCGTGTGGCCCGGGGTTTAATTCCTTTCACCTCATCTTCCTGTTCAAGATTACAGATATGTAGCATAATTTGCTTAAAAGTATTTGCCCCTCCCTGATTCCGTGTCTCCTTTTCAGCTTGTAATAAAGAGCTTTGCATGCTGAATGATGTGGTAAGAGTAATCATTGTTCTTGCAGCTGCTTTGGCATGGACATAATTGTTAGCTGTGGGACTGGAGAGTGTCAGGATTATATCAGAGTAAACAGACGTCTTATCTCTTCATTTGAAAAAGCTTCACAGAAATGCGTCAGTTTATCAGACTTGCGAAGCATATTCTACTTTTAATTTTTTTACATACAGGTGGGTTATCTGGCATTAATCCCGATGCAAAAGATTTTCAAAGAAAGAAGATTGAGCAGTTTGGAGTGGAGAGGGTGTGATTTCTAGCCTTTGATTTACAGTTTTAATAATGTTTGCAGATAAATGAGTAACTGAGCCTTTAAAAATAATAATACATGTATTTCATTCTGGTATAATACCCGTCAGGCCGGTTTTATAATTAAAACAATATAAAACAATTTACACTGTAAGTCTTCAAACCAACCCCCAAAATAAATAGAATTAGTGGCAGCCCAGCCACAGAATTTGCAGGATCACTGAAACGGCAATAAGGTGCTTAACCATATCCATGAAAGTGTAGCTGTGGGTTGCATATTGACCTGCGTCCAGGAAGAACACTTATACAGGTCTATTCAGAGCTGCCCAAAACCCTCTGCACCACGACTTTCTGGACCAGCTGCAACTTCTGAATGCTCTTCAAGGGCAGCCCCACATAGAACACATCATAGCAATCCAAATGACTAAGACGTGAGCAGTTGTTTGCACAAGACAAATGATACAAAGGTCTTCCTAGTCACGACTGCCACCCTTTACGAGTCTAGAAGGACCCCCATGTTGCACGCCAGCTTCGATTAGGGAAGAGCTAAAGATGGAAAATTTCTGGATCTGTGAGGGCTTTAAGATACACGGCCATCTTGTCATGCCAGGGTTGAACCACAGCCTCTTCTCCCCCCTCCAAACCCCACAGCGTCTAGGTCAGTGGTGGTGAACCTGTGGCACGCGTGCCAGAGGCGGCACTCAGAGCCCTCTCTGTGGGCACGCGTGCCATGCCCCGGAGATGGCGAGGGACTGGCCCCTGCTGCCCTGGCCCCGCCCACCCAGCCTGCCATGAGCACTGCGGCCACGCCCACCCGGCCCCCGGTGATAAATAAGTGGGTTTTGGGTTGCAGTTTGGGCACTGGGTCTCTAAAAGGTTCGCCATCACTGGTCTAGGTGGTAGGAAGGAACCTTGCTAACATCCCCTGATTGTTCCAGGACAGAGATGTATAAATAGGTCTCATTGTCGTATTGATAATACTTGATCTCATACCAACAGATCCCCTAAGAGCTTCATGTAGGTGTTAAATAGGACTGCAGAGAAAGTGGAGCCCTGAGGTACTCCATAGTGCAGGGGGTTCTCCTCAGTTTTACTCCTGGAAGAAACGGAAACGACAGAACCGGTTCTATAGAAAGGAGACACATCATGGCACCGTGACCATGCCTTTCAGTCCGCTAAGCCAACTGAAAGGATGCCGTGTTGAGTGGCCTCAAAGGCTGCTTAGAGATCTAAGGAGGGTCAGGATGATGCACTACAGTTATCCCAAACCCACCAAGGATCATGAACCGGTACCCTCAAAACCATCTAAGTATTATCTCTAAGCCTGGCTGGAAGGGGTTCCATTAATTTGTTTCTTTCAGAACTCTCTGGACCCGTAGGCCAGTTACCTTTAGCCTGAAGACTGGACAAAAACTGTCCAGATTTGTTGGAGCAAGCAATGGTCTCTTACGAAGGGGATGGGAAGGCATCTCTTTCAAGGCAGGTGGAGCCACCTCCTTTTGCAGAGAGGCATTCAGATCCCAAAGGGGCTTTTTCCAAAAGGCAACTGGGCTTTCTTGGGTTTTTTTTTTCTTTGAAAGCATTTTGCTTCTCATCCAAGAAGCTTCTTCAAGTCCGGATCTTCTTGGATGAGAAGCAAAATGTTTTCAAAACAACAACAACGAGAAAGTCTGGCTACGTTTTGAACAAAGCACCTTTGGGACAACCACGACTTAGATGGTTAAGAATCTCCACAGGCATCAAGCATTTACTTCTCATGGACCCCCTCACCCCTCACCTCTTGGGAAACTTTAATCGATCAGGAGGGAGAGACATCTAAAACAGAGGTCCCCAACCGTGGCAACTTTAAGACTTGTGGACTTCAACTCCCAGAATTCCTCAGCCAGCTTGGCTGGCTGAGGAATTCTGGGAGTTGAAGTCCACAAGTCTTAAAGTTGCCAAGGTTGGAGACCCCTGGTCTAAAACACAAGTGGCCAAACTCACAGCGCTGAAGATTCTGTTCACTTCATTCATAACTGTCTCACGGGAGACTTTGATTCACCAGAGACGTCAATGAATGGAAGGAACAGATTCTGGTAGAGAGTTTTGCTGCTTTGGCTTGGCCTCTAGAGATTATTTTGCTAAAATTACCCAGTAAGTTAGTGAGACCTATTTAGGTTATAAATATTATGCTCACTTCATGTATCTATTCTTCCATTTATTCTTTTCTGGTTTTCTTAATCGTTCTCTAGGACTACTTTTAAAAAACGTTTCAGGTGTTAAAATGGAAGTTTGGCGCATCACAACTATTACTATATATTAGGCTTTATGTGCATCACCTGGAATGGTGTTTTAGGGGAAGAAGATTAAAAACCAAGCCTTATACAATCCAAAACTGACGTGCAAATAGATGATGTGCCTTAAGCATCTTTATTGGGAAACTGTGTATGTGTGGTAGGTAATAAATCTGTTCTTATTTTGTCCATGAATGGATTTCATTGCCCAATAAAAGAATTGTTGCAACAAACAGGCTATAAAAGATGGAAGAATACAATATGCTTTCCACAAATCAAATAGAAAAACAGGCTTTAAGTAGCGAGTTGTACTTTTATTACAATATTGTAATAAAATAATGGAGTAAGAAAGAGAGGAGAGAATATATCTGGCAGATTTAATTTGAGCTGTTTACCCATAAAAAGACTCTTCTGGGATGGCAAAGAAGGTTCCAATGCAGCCTTTTTTGATTGTCTGTATGGAGTGTCCATCTTAAATCCTCTCCTTGGACCATCAATACACTTGTCAAATAAACTGGTATCACACGTTCTTCCACGGTTAGAGGTTTAGCATAGCTGTTTGTTTTCTTAACAGGCTTGTAGTCTTGGGCTATTCCTGAAATCTTGTGTTTTCTAGGGACCCTAGTTGAGGTTCTTCTAAAAGGCACGAGGGATGGCCATCAGGAAGCAGGAGAAAGTTTTCCTCAAGGTCAGGGAGGATGAGATGCTCAGAAAATAAGCTCAGTTGGAAGAAAGAATGGGGTTGCCACGAGGACAAGTGTTGACTAACTCCCAACATATTGAGACTGCTCACTCTGGCAGAGGAGACTGACAACACTGGCAGATCTAAGACAAAATAAGAGAGTTAAATTACTGTGGTAAAATAGCTCGTCTTTCTTTCAGGTAAATGTTTATTTGCATCCCAGTCATTATGTTTCTCGTGTTACTATCAACAATTTTTTGCCACGGTAGAAGTGCATCAAAAGTTCAGGGGAACTTCTGCTAAATAGACTTGATGCTGACATAGCATTGAGAGCCGTGGTGGTGCAGGTTAGAATGTAGTATTGTAGGCTAACTCACCGCACAGTGCCAGCAGTTCGATCCTGACCGGCTGAAGGTTGACTCAGCCTTCCATCCTTCCGAGGTCAATAAAATGAGGACTCAGATTGTTGGGGATTGGGCAATATGCTGACCCTGCAAACTGTTTAGGGAGTAAAGTAAAGCACTACCAATCGGTATATAAATCTAGTGCAGGGATAGGCAACCTTGGCTCTTTTATGATTGGTGGACTTCAACTCCCAGAATTCCTGAGCCAGCAGGGCTCAGCTTGGAAACCTCTCCCTTTCCCCTCAGCACGGCTGGCTCAGGAATTCTGGGAGTTGAAGTCCACGAGTCATAAAAGAGCCAAGGTGGCCTACCCCTGGTCTAGTGCTATTGCTACCTTTCTTGCTTTTCCCATTTCCTCCCTCTTTTTCTTCCTAATGAGCTGTGGTGGTGCAGTGTGTAGACCTGCAGTATTAAAGACTAACTCTGTCCACTGCCAGGAGTTTGATCTTGACTGGCTCAAGGTGGGCTCAGCTTTCCATCCTTCCGAGGTTGGTAAAATAAGGACCCAGGTTGTTATGGGCCTTATGCTGACTCTGCAAACTACTTAGAGAGGGCTGTAAAGCATTGTGTAGCGGTATATAAGTCTAAGGGCTATTGCAATTGCTATTGACAGGTGACTCCTGGGCAGCTTTTTAATAGAACATAGATATTTCTTTTTTTCTTTTCAGCAGCCCCTTTCTTCTGAGTTGCTGTGTAAAATACCCAGAAGAAAACTTGTTTCCTTGAAGGAAGCATAAATAAAGGAAGTGACACAACTGAAGTTCACGTACCTCCGTTTTTGTATCTATTTTATTTATTTATCTGTTTTACTCATTGATAAGCCTGCCTGTCTAACAAGTTAGCTACTGTACACCTTGGGTCCCAATTGCCTTCAAGTGACAGCGCCTTCAAGTGTGCTATTGACTTGAAATTTAAAAAGGGGGGTCGCAGTCTTCTATACATAATCTTTTCTGTATTAAAAAAATGCTTCCCCTCCCAACTTCTCAAGATGAGAGGGCTGTTTTCTGAGATTGAGAAGCTCAATCGTGGAAAACTCAGATGTTCTGAAGTGTCACCAGCCAAGCACAGGTTCATCACTTCAAACCCAGGAACTCAGAAAGTTCCTTGCTAAGTTTCTGCTTCCTGTGTTGTGTTTTTTTTCACTCCTGGGACGTTGTGCTGATGTTGGGAGTCAGCTCTCCTTTGCAGAGGTTGAGATGTTATTGATGGCGTCTTGAAAGCAATTTCTTTCTGTCTTTTTTCTTTTTAAAGGGATGGATGCACTTAAATGGAAATAGGAGAAACCTTCCCCATCAGTGGTCAGTTGGCTGAGATTCTAAATATTCTTGGAGGGCTTGTTCAAAACCACCCGGTTTATATACTTGGACTTGAAAAGACATCTCTCTGAAAACACAGCTGCTTGAAAGCTCCTCTATTGTGCAGATCTGGAAAAGAAGCCAATTTTTTTTTTTTATCCCGTTCAAAGCGGGGAGACTGATTTTTCAAAGTTCTGAGTTGTGTAAGAGGTGAAATGGGGTTTCTAGATAGGGAAATGCATTGGCAGTGCTTGCAAAACCCAGTTGCAAAATGTTCTCCAGGATGTTTCAGTTTCACAGGTTTTGCTTGTTTATTGTCTAGCTGAAATGGTTACCTCTTCGGATTTAGTCATAGTTTTGAAAGGGAGCCTTCAGATCTGAAAGTTTAATTACAAGAAATGGATTCTGCTTTATTAAAGGCCAGTTTCAAAGTGTTTCCTATGAAATTAGGAATTGCAAATGCTCTATAGTTACAGCTATTTTATTTTACTCTTTAATTTACTAGCAGTCTTTCTCTCTCTCTCTCTCTCATCTCCCTTTGCAGTTTGGCTCATGGTCAACTCAACTCCAAAAAAATAGAAGCAATATTAGGAAACTTAAAGGGAGATGTGGCGTAGCAGTGGGAAATCTACTTCATTGTAGGATTGTGTTGTTGATTTTCTAAGGACTTTTCATTTTGTGTTGTCCGTGATGTTTCGAGCTTTGTTTATATATTAATATTAGCAGCATTTTGTGTTTTATTTTCCTTCTATTAACTTGTGGTCAAAACAATGTACCAAATAGTACAGATGACTGTATTCCCCAGTGTTTATATGATTTACAGAAACTGCCTCAATGATATTCAGCAAAGAGACCGAATTCTTCAACATTCATTGCTGTGTAGGCAACTTACAGGCCGAGTTTGGAGAGGAAATGAAGGTTGTGTCTGAATGAAAGGCTAAAAGCTCTGTTTTTCTTCTATTGTAAAGTTTTAGATCAGGGGTCTTCAAACTTGGCCCTTTTATGACTTGTGGACTTCAACTCCCAGCTGGCTGAGGAATTCTGGGAGTTGAAGTCCACAAGTCATAAAAGGGCCAAGTTTGAAGACCCCTGTTTTAGATTATTATTATTATTATTATTACTTTAATTTATACCCCGCCCTTCTCCCGAGGGACTCAGGGCGGCTCACAGGTAAATAAAAACAATACTATACAATAAATATCTAAAAGCCAAATTAAAATATATATTAAACAACCTGTATTAGGAAAATTATAAAATCCCTTTAAAATCCCTATAAAATCCCCCCCCTAGGCCAATCCCGCTTGATGGAAAAGCCATGTCTTGAGGGCACGGCGGAAGGAGGGGAGATCCGGAATAATCCGGATCTCTGGGGGGAGTTCATTCCACAGGGTGGGGGCTCCCACAGAGAAGGCCCTCCCCCTGGGGGTCGCCAGCCGACACTGTTTGGCCGACGGCACCCTGAGGAGGCCCGCTCTGTGGGAGCGTACCGGTCGATGGGAGGCAATCTGCGGCAGAAGACGGTCTCGGAGATCCTCCGTTCCTCAGGCACTTACACCTGATTTATTCTTCTGGGAGATGCTTCATGTGAATGGCATTAAATCTAGACCTCTGACAGTGGACCTCCACTAATGGGAGATGTCCAGTCGCAAAAAGGCCAAGGCCACCTTCAGCTACAGGAGTTCACTGAACGTTTTTGAACCGGCCCATCTTCCTCGATTTAGCCATCTTACCAAATATTGTGAAGAAAGATGTAAAGGGAGAGTGATATCATATGAAGTATTAATACCGCTTTATAAAATCTTTAGTAAGGCCACACCTGGAATCTCGCATTCAGTTTTGATCACCACGCTACAAAAAAAGAGGTTGAGACTTTGGAAAAAGTACAGAGAAGAGGAATTAAGATGATTAAAGGCCCGGAAACTAAAACATATGAAGAACAATTACAGGAATTGGGTATGCCTAGTCTAGAGAAAAGAAGGACTAGGGGTGACTTAATAGCAGTATTTCAGTATTTGAGGGGGCTGCCACAAAGAAGAGGGGGTCAACCTGTTTTCCAAGGCACCAAAAGGCAAGACAAAAAACAACGGATGGAAACTAATCAAGGAGAGAAACAACCTGAAATTAAGGAGAAACTTCCCAACAGTGAGACCGATCAACCAGTGCAACAGTTTGCCTTCAGAAGTTGTGGGTGCCCCATCCCTGGAGGCTTTTATGGACAGCTATTTGTCTGAAAAGGTATAGGGTCTCCTGCTTGAGCAGGGGGTTGGACCAGAAGACCTCCAAGGTCCCTTCCATCTCCGTTATTCTATTATGCAGGAAAAGATGCAGCTTTGTGCACTTATCTGCCACTTATGCGGCCTGGTTCCCAATGGGCCATGGCTGGTGACCAGGGATTGGGTCCTCCAGAGTCCATTCCAGTTATGTGATTCTATGACTGACTGACTTGTGGTGAAACACTTAATGCTGACTTTAAATTTGATGCTGGGCATTACAAAGGTGTGAAGCTTAGAAGATAACTGGCAAGGCCAGGTAGAGTTAAGGGAGACCCCTCCCTACCTTCCCCAAATGGCTAATGAGGTATTTTAGTTGCGTGATGGAAAACATATGCTGTGTTGACTTCACTTTTGCTGCTGCTGCTGCTGCTGAATAGACCAGTATAGTCATTAAAATATAGACTGCATCTGCTCTTTATAATAAATATAGCCTAGGGCAGGGGTCTTCAAACTTGGCCCTTTTATGACTTGTGGACTTCAACTCCCAGAATTCCTGAGCCAGCATGGCGCAGCTTGGAAACCTCTCCCTTTCCCCTCAGCGTGGCTGGCTCAGGAATTCTGGGAGTTGAAGTCCACGAGTTATAAAAGAGCCAAGGTGGCCTACCCATGATCTACCCCTGAAACATTGGCCAAGGTGGCCTACCCCTGGCCTACCCCTGGCCACATTGGCCAATAAAAGAGCCAAGGTGGCCTACCCCTGATCTACCCCTGAAACATTGGCCAAGGTGGCCTACCCCTGGCCTACCCCTGGCCACCTTGGCCAATAAAAGAGCCAAGGTGGCCTACCCCTGGCCTACCCCTGAAACATTGAGAGCGGGAGCCTCTCAATGTTTTGATAAGTTGCAGATGGGCCGTTTACTAAATGGAAAACTGAAGTGCTGTAGAATAGCAGATTATTAGAGTCCTGTCTAGTATCTTATATGCGGGTGGAATTCTCCCTTCATAAGTTGTAGTCTTTTCTTTCCCCCAAATTCGCAAGGGAGCTTTGGAGACCCCCCCCCCCAGGGCAAATTTGAGCAGTGCCCTGTGTCGGGGTGGGAGGGGTTGGTTGAAAGCTGCTGTTGTTGGAGCAGATGATTTCTGTAATGTGGAGTTTATCTGTGGCAAAAGGGGATTCTTCTTGCTCAGAGATGCTTCTGTAGTCCTCGGCTTACGACGTACAACCACAACTGACCCCCAAAATTTCTGTTGCTAAGTGAGACACTTGTTAAGTGAGTTTTGCCCCATTTGACAACTTTTCTTGTTAAGTGAATCGCTGCAGTTGTTAAGTTAGTAACACGGTTGTTAAGTGAATCCGGCTTCCCCATTGACTTTGCTGGTCAGAAGGTCTCAAAAGGGGGTCCTGTGACCTTGGGACACTGCGACCGTCATAAGTATGAGTCAGTTTGCCAAGCATCTGAATTTTGATCCTATGGCCATGGGGATGCTAGTGTAAAAAACAGCCATAAGTCACTCTTTTCAGTGCCGTTGTAACTTTGAACGGCCACTAAATGAACCGTTGAAAGTTGAGGACTAACTATACCCGCTGTTTTGTCTTCCAGGGCGCCAATGCCTCTGCTTTGGAGAAAGAGATTGGTCCGGATCAGTTTCCTATGAACGAACATTACTTCGGCTTGGTTAATGTGAGTGGCTCTTTTGTCCTTCTTGGGGAGTTGCCTGTTAAATTGTGTCTTCTTTTGTCATCCTGGATTCGGAACTGAACACCCCTGAGTAGCCCTTGTGTTTTCCTGGAGCCAGTTTGTATCCTGAGCCCCAGAAACTCCGCTTAAAAAGTCGACCTTTACAAAGTTAAGTAAAGCAAGAGTTCAAACATTCTCCATTTGTTTGCTTGAGGATGTTTCTGAATTGGGTCAATTTGTTAGGAAGAAGCAGCAGAAGCGTGTTGTCCAAATCAGGTACAAAACTCCTGAGACAGGTGGGCCACAGAGAAGGGGACTGGCTCAGAAATAGTTACCTTCCTGCCTGCAGTCCCCTTTTTTAAAAAAAACCACAAACATTGGGCCAGAGCTTGCAAGTATTTGCTCATTGTCAGAGCTTAAATCTGCCCCTAATTCTGTGGAGGTAAACATAAGGCTTGACCCGGGAGTGGTGAAGCATGAGTTCATATCTGAAAACTGAATTGAACTTCCAGATGTGTGGATGGGAGCATCCCAAAAGAGTAGAATTCCATTGGACAGGGCCACAAGGGAGGCTAAGAAACGGAGGGAATTGTAATAGGCACAGAGGTCATGAGGTGTTGAAGCCCATTGGTCATGTCAAACTCCGTGGCCCTTCTCAATGTGAGCGGATCTTCTCCCTAAATGGAAGTGAAATTGCAGAAGGGCCGGTAACAACCCCGCTAAAGCTACAATATAAACATTTCATTTTGATTCAGCTTGCTGCCTTGGGACAAAAGATTCCCGAATCTGCTTCTGCAGCGATTTGATTGAAGATTAATTGAATCGGAGTACCCTATCAAAGTGTTCCACCGCCCAGGGTTGAAGAATGCAGTTCCCATACAGCTCCCCAAACGTCATTTGGAATGTACAGATATTAATTTTGTTTATACTAACAGTTACCACCATCTTGGCAAGGATGAAGGGAGCTGTTGGAGATGTGGTGGTGGTGGTGACGATGGTGGTGGTGGTGGTGGTGGTGGTGATGACGATGGTGAGGATATATTCCGAATGTCAAATGATTTCTCCCAGAAGTGATCATCCCATCAGACTCTCTTTTCTTTCTCTGAAATGAAGCAACCTTCAAATGCGACAGATGCAAACATCTGCTTTCAGCTGTGTAAACAGGAAGCATGTAGACACTGTCTAACCCCGTCCCCAGGGCATTTTTCTCCTCAGAGTGCTGGTCACTTCTCTAAATATTCTTGATCTGAGCTGACTCTGAAAAGAAGCTCGTTTAACTCTCCTTGGCATCCTGTCAGAGTTCTGTCTGCTCCCGGGCTCCCCACGTAAATCGCTCTCTGTCAGAAACGGCACCCTTGCCCTGAGCACCACCCAATGTTGACAGTCTTAGCAACATAGCAACAGATCCCTTTGGAGTGACCTCCAACAGGACATGGTTCCCCTCCGCAATTAACCAGCATTGCTGGCTTGTGAAACAAGTGTGGGAGGGTGGGCCAAATGGCATTGCAAGGCTTTTTAAAAGTCGGGGTCCACTTCCTTCACTGAGAGTCAACGAAGGAAATACTTCAGGCATATTGTGGCGACGTGCAGCTGTAGGACAGTTCACGGCTGAGAAAGTACTGGCAAAGCCCCCCCCCCCCCCCCCCNAAAACCCCCCCCCCCCCCCCAAATCTGGCCTACAGGGCTTGCAACTTCAAGACAGAGTCAAGGTGGAGATTGCAGAGGAAGTGAGGCAGTTTCGGAGCAAGTGAGGCAGTTTCGGGTTAAACATAGCATTCTTGGACAAAAATCTCTCACGCTCCCTGCAGCCCTGAACCCTCAGAAAGATTGTCCTTCCCTCAAATGTGAGAATATTGTATGCAACACCTTCAATTTTTATGCTATTTTGCCAGCCTCCTCCCACCCTCTTCCTTGCTAGCTAACTTAGAAGGTAGAAGGACAGAGTTGGAAGGATCTTGGAGGTCTTCTGTTCCAATTCCCTGCTTGAGCAGGAAATCCTCTACCACGGGGGTCCCCAACCTGTGTGCCGCAGTCCGGTAGTGGGCCGTGGCCTACTGCCCACTAGGCCGCGGGATAGGCTGGCCAGTGCGCGCACACACTCCTACTTGCAGTAGCGCCGCAGCCATGGGGCACAAAAAATGGGCCGCCACTGTGCCTCAGGGCGAGAAAGGGAGCCACCACTGTGCCATGGGGCGCGAAAAGGGGTCGCCGCCATGCCTCGGGGCATGAAAACGGGCCACCACCACACCACAGGGCATGAAAATGGGCCACTGCGACCACACTGCGGGGCGTGAAAACGGATGGCGCTGTGCCACACAAGAATGGGGCAGGGCTAGTATCATGCAACCACTATCCCCGCCCCGTTTATGTCACATTGTGGTTAGGGTTAGGGCAGTTAACCCCATGCACGAGCGCACGTGTGTAAAATGCTTCCCCCTCCCCTTCCCTCTGGTCCGCCAACAGAAAGGTTGGTGACCTCGGCTCTACTAGAACTCTGGCTGGGGAATTCTGGAAGTTGAAGTCCACAAATCTTAAAGTCGTCTACAAGTTGTCCACAAGTCTTAAAGTTGCTAAGGTTGGACATTCCTGTCCTATACTCTTGGTTTTCTTAGTTCTCTTTTACTTGCAGTTGAATAGCCATTTTGTCAAGACACACACACACATACACTTATCCCAAAGGTGCTTTTTCAAAAGGCAATTGGACTTCCTTGTTTTTCTTTGAAGACGTTTCGTTTCCCATCCAAGAGGCTTCTTCAGCTTTGACTGGATGGTGGAGAACGGAAGGGTTTATACTCCTTGCAGACAGCTGGTCATTTGCATTCTTTTAAGAGAGTCCATGAGGCCACTTGGAGGTTTTTCTGTGTCCTCAAGGACAAAGGTGACCTGAGTGGTACAAATGGGTGTTGAGCTTTCTTGGAATTGCTGAAAGAACTGTGTTGCACCAGTCAGATGACCTTGAGGACAGAGATAAACCTCCAAGTGGCCTCAACGCCTCTCTAAAAGAATGCAAATGACCAGTTTCGTGCAAGGAGTATAAATCCTTCCATTCTCCGCCATCCAGTCAGAGCTGAAGAAGCTTCTTGGATGAGAAGCGAAATGCCTTCAAAGAAAATCAAAGTCCAGTTGCCTCCTGAAAAAGCACCTTTGGGACAGCCGTGACTGGATGACTGAGAACCTCCACAGACACACCCTTACTTACTTTTCTTCTTCTGTTCCCTCAGTTTGGAAATACCTGCTACTGTAACTCGGTCCTCCAGGCCCTTTACTTCTGTCGCCCATTTCGGGAAAAGGTGTTGGCCTACAAAGTCCAGGCCCGCAAAAAGGAGACCCTTCTGACCTGCTTGTCGGACCTCTTCAACAGCATTGCCACCCAGAAGAAGAAAGTGGGGGTCATCCCCCCCAAGCGGTTCATTTCCCGGCTGAGGAAAGAAAACGGTAAGGAAGCCCCCGTGCTTCTTGGCTGTCTTAGGACAGGGGATGCTTAAGATTTCCTCAGAGGCCGGTTGGTGTGGATTGCGAACAGCTGTGGTTGGAGGCCCTTGGCCCACCCAGAACTGTGGGTTGGTGGGAGCAGAGGAAGCTCCCTCAGACAGGTAGACCTCGACGTTGATTTGGTGACCGCTCGAAGTTACAACGGCACTGAAAAAAGTGACTTACCACTGTTTTTCATACTTACGACGGCTGCAGCACCCCCACAGTCACACAATCAAACTTCAGACCCTTCAGGCAACTGGTATTTGTGACGGTCACAGTGTTGCAGGGTCACGTGATCCCCTTTTGTGACCGTCTGACAAGCGAAGTCAATGGGGAAGCCAGGTTCACTTTACAACCAGGTTACTAACTGAACAATGATTCACTTAACAACTCTGGCAAGAAAGGTCATAAAATGGGGCAAACCCCACTTAACAACTGTCTCGCTTAGCAACAGAAATGTTGGGCTCAATTGTGGTCGTAAATGGAGGACTACCAGTACTGGACACACATTTCCATTAAGCTCCCTGTCCAGCTTAACCTTTTAAAAAATCCTGCTAATTTAAGAATCAAGCTCCTTGCAAATAGAGAACCACCATATTGACCCATAGCAAAATCCCCCCCACCCACAGAGATGGTAGTTCAACGTCTGATTAAAGAATGTCTTTGATTATGCTAACCTTGAGAACTAATTAGTAAGTAAACCAGACTCATATGGTAATCATTTTGTAACTGCCCATCATTATGTTGTCCTTTGCCCCGAACTACAGGTAGTTCTCAATTTAATAACTGTTCATTTAGTGACCGTTCAATGTTACAACGGCACTGAAAAAAATTGACTTATGACAGTTATGACCGTTGCAGCATCCCCATGGTCATGTGATCAGAATTAGTGTGCTTGGCAACTGGCATGTACTTAAGACAGTTGCACTGTCCCAGAGTGATGTGATCATTTGACTCATAGTGGCATTGTATTCATGCTGTGAATATCTTCACATTTCCTTTTTAAAAACCTATTTTTACTAAGCGCTTTTGCTTAATTTTTAATAAAAGCATATACCCTGTTGCTTTCTACCCTTCCTGGGGTCCAAAATTCTGTAAGACTTTAGCCATATTAGGCTAATATCTTAATTCCTCTGCTCTTCTTCTTCTTCTTTGTTGTGTGCCTTGTTATCAGAGCTGTTTGACAACTATATGCAGCAGGATGCACACGAATTCCTGAACTATCTGTTGAACACAATTGCGGACTTGCTACAAGAAGAAAAAAAGCAGGAGAAACAGAATGGCAAACTCCAGAACGGAAGCATTGAGAGTGATGAAGGGGAGAAGACCGAGCTCACGTGGGTCCATGAAATCTTCCAGGGAACACTGACAAACGAAACTCGCTGTTTAAACTGTGAAGCTGTAAGTAGCTCTTTACTTTTCTCTGAAATTCATACTTAGCGTGGTTCTTTCCCAAGAACGTTGACAGTGGGGTTTTTTTCCTCCCATCTTCCTGCTGTCAGTATATAAACAGATGAACGCTTACCTCTTTCAAGTTGCTAAACCTGCATCTAGCTAGAACAGGGGTCTCCAAACGTGGCACCTTTAAGCCTTGTGGACTTCTACTCTCAGAATGTTGGGAGCTGAAAGTCGACAGGTCTTAAAAGATGCCAAATTTGGAGACCCCCTGAGCTAGAAGAAAATTTCTCAGTTTTGGTAACAAAGGCGTGTGGACTTCAACACCCACAATGTTTCCTGCCATAACTGGTTTGGTCTGCTTTCAAGAAGCTTATAGTAGGGCATGAAGTTCATAACTCTATCCTATTCTTATCTCAATTCTTGTTCTGGCATCTTTGATGCTCTCTGAGCTTGGTTGCTCGCCTGCTGATGTTTCGTTGCCCAAGTAGGTAACATCATCAGTGCGAGAGAGTTTGGGTTTTCTCCCGCTTTATATGCCGTAGCTTGCCCTGCCAATGATGGCAGGTGGTTTTCTCTTTGGTTGTTCCTTGATTAGGGTAGATCTTGTCTCCTCGAAGTAGTTGCCCTGTTACATTCTTCAGTCTAAAGGTCCTGATTTGAGCACATCAGTACTTTTTGGACCTGAATCTGAAGCTTTGGAGTCGACACAGGACTGGTTTGCATCTCCCAAAGGAAACCATCTTTCTTGTTCACAATGTGCCAATCCCTCCCTGAGGTGCTTTTTCATCTTTGGGTTTGAAGGATTGCACATCTCTACACTGAGTCCATTCATGTGTCCCGCTAAACCGGCATTTGGCTTCAGATGTAGCACAGCTATGATCTCCAGAACCCCCCAACGTGGAAGCTAGCTAGTTTAGGGCTATATGCTAATTCTGCCCTCAGCTAGCCAGAGAACATAATATTTATCATAATTATCTTCTTGGGAGGGAGGGAGTGTGACATTCAAAAAACACTCATTATGGGATTCAGTTTCTCAATTCATAACTTTTATGTTTCTTTTTAGAACATGTCTACACAGCAAAAATGCTGGGATGGATGGGGTGGGGCCCTGTTTCTCAATTTCAACAACGTTAAGGTGCATGGCCTTTAGCTCTCAGAATTGTATGCTGGGGAATTCTGGGGGTTGAGGTCCACACATGGCTGGCTGGGGAATTCTGGGGATTGAAGTCCTACAGGGTGACTGGGGAATTCTGGAAGTTGAAATCCACACATGGCTGATGGGGGAATTCTGGGAGTTGAAGTCCACACAGGCTGACTGGGGAATTCTGGGAGTTGAAGTCCACACAGGCTGACTGGGGAATTCTGGGGGTTGAAGTCTACATATGGCTGGCTGGGGAATTCTGGGAGTTGAAGTCCACACATGGCTGATGGGGGAATTCTGGGAGTTGAAATCCACACAGGCTGACGGGGGAATTCTGGGAGCTGAAGTCCATATATTTTAATGTTGCTGAGATTAAGAAACACTGAATTAGAGTCTGGTGACCTATGACCTTTGCCTCCATTTAATAATAGTTGTCACTGATTTTTTTGGAACTGTACAGATAGTTCTCAATTTACAGCAGTTTGTTTAGTGACCTCACAAAACTACAATCACAGTTGAAAAAGTTACTTATGACCGTTTTTCACACGACAGTTGCAGCATCTCCATGGTCACGTGCTTGGCAACTGGTTCCTATTTATGACGGTTACTGTCTCCCGGGGTCATGTGATCCGTTTTGCAACCTTCTGACGAGCCAAGTCAATGGGGAAACCAGATTCACTTAACAACTGTGTCACTAACTTAACAACTGCAGCGATTTTGGGGTGGATTTCCATCAGTACGCTGACGACACTCAGCTGTACATCTCCACCCCAGGCCACCCCAACGATGCCCTTGACGTGATGGCCCGCTGCCTGGAGGCCGTACGGGTCTGGATGGGGAGGAACAGACTCAGGCTCAACCCTTCCAAGACCGAGTGGCTGTGGTTGCCGGCGTCTCGGTATGGTCAGCTGACGC